GGATGGGCAGGCACCTAAGCCAGGGTGGGAGAGTGAGGAGAGAGGATCTTAGAACCTGAAGACTGCGAGGGAGTTAGCCAGTCCAGGACTGAAGGGAAGAATTCTTGGAAAAGGAAATGGCTGCAAAAAAGCAGAGGTGAGAAAAGGTGCAGGAAGTGGTTTAGAATAATTGGAGTAAGATCTTGATCAGGGAGCTCTACAACTAAACAAGAACACCGAGAAGTCAAGTTCAGACACTAAAAGCCCTGAGAAACCACATAAGAAACTGCGGATTGGAGAACTCACACTATCCCCAAATCTCTTCTCCCTTGCTTGCCTCTACAGCATGTTTTCCAAACTTAGCACTATTGACCTCTTGGACCAGTTAATTCTTTGTTGTAGGGGGTTGTCTTGTGTATTGTAGGATGTTTCTCCACCGCTAGATGCCAATAGCAGCACCCCCCACCCCAGTTGTGACAACCAAAAGTGTTTCTAGATATTTCCTGCAGTCCCCCATGGGGCAAAATCATCCCTGGTTATGAACCACTGGTCTAAAGGTTGAAAAAGCTGTGTCATTTTTTTTCAGCTAGATGGTCATGTAACACAGTTCTGGCCAATGAAATATGAGATCTACTGGATCGTCCTTCCTTTTTCACCCATCTTGAATGAAGCCAAGAGCAACAGCTACCGCTTTGCAGCCATGAGATGACAAGCAGAAAAGAGAGGCCATAAGAATCACAGAGAGGGTGGTCCCTACATCTTTGAGCCAATGCACCACCTACCTCCAGACTTCTTGTTATGAAGGTAAGATAACTCCTATGTGTTTAGGCCACCAAGTTGAGGCTTTCTATTATTTGCAGCTGAAAGCAATCCTAACTATTAAACCATACAAAAGTGTTTGGATTTCATCCTAGAGATAATGAGGATCCACTAAAGTATTCTAAAAAATAAAAAAGAATTACATCATCAGACCTAGTTTGGAAAGATCATTTTGCTACAAAATACAATCTTTGCTATGAAGCAAGATGGGACGCAGATAGACCATGGAAAATGCTGTTATGCAAGATAAGCAAAAACCGAATGGGGTTTGGATCAATTAAGTCATTGATGGTGGGAATAAAATGGAGGGGACACATCTGAGAAACACTGAGAGGCAAAATGGACTGACCCTAAGCAATTGGATATGCACAGTGAGTAAGATACATCTTCTGGCGTAGGTGATGCCCTACATGGTACGTAAAAGAAAGAACAACTGACGGAGAAGGACAATATTCCATTGCAGGCCAGGTTGAATTTGAAATGTTTATGGCACACCCAAGTTGTAATGTTAGGGCATTTAGATACACAGGTCTAGAAGCCAGTAAAGAATAAGGAAGTGGTAATTTTTAAAACATATGGATGATATTCTAAATTTGTTTTATTTTTTAAGATTGTATTTATTTATTTGAGAGAGTGAGTGAGCACAAGCAGGGAGGAGGGGCAGAGAGGAGAGGGAGAAGCAGACTCCCTGCTGAGCAGGGATTCCCAACAATCCAGGACCCTGAGATCATGGCCAGAACCGAAGGCAGATGCTTAACCAACTGAGCCATCTAGGTGCCCTAATTCTAAATTTTTAAATTCCAATAAAATAACATTACTTATTACAAAAGTGGTATCAATGAAGTATAGAATACTTAAGCATACAGCTAAGCAAAAGAAATTTAAAAATACACAGACACATTCATAAAATCCCAGCATCCAGATATAATTTGCAATAAAATGTACTTACACATACATGTGAATATACAAATATAAATGGCCCCATACTGCATATGCTATATGGTAACAGGCTTTATTCACTTAAAAACATATCATAAACATTTTTCTATTTCAATTAATATTCACCCATTTTTCTGATTTTTTACTATATAAACAGTTCTGAGATCAATTGTCCTCATAGTAAAATTTTTGCCCATATCCCTAGTTATCTCCTTAGGATAAATTCCTAAATGTGGAACTTCTGGCTAAATGGTATACATGTTTTTAAGGCTTTTTACAGATGTTCCCAAATCACTCTCTAGAGAGGTTGTAGCAATTTACAATCCCATAACACTGTGTGTGAGTACTCATTTCTCCACACTTTCTCCTAAACTGAAATTATATATATAACCACTCAAATCTTTGAGAACTTTATAAAATAAAAATGTTAACCTCATTGTTGTTTTTATTTGGCATTTGTTTAATTGCTAGAACTTGGGCCGTGTATGTTTTATCAGCGATTTGTAATTTTTCCTTGGCAAACTGCTGATTCTTGTTTTTTGTCTACTATTCTTTGGGAAATCGGATCTTTTATTGATTGGTAAAAGCTCTTTTTATGTTATAAACTTTAACCCTTCTTCATTAATGCTGCATTTTTCTCTTAGTTTGCATTTGCCATTTAATTTTAGGGTACATTTAGATAAACAGGTATTTAAAATTATTTGAATTGTCGAGGCGCCTGGGTCGCTCAGTCGTTAAGCTTCTGCCTTCGGCTCAGGTCATGATCCCAGGGTCCTGGGATCGAGCCCCGCATGGGGCTCCCTGCTCTGCGGGGAGCCTGCTTCTCCCTCTCCCACCCCCTCTGCTTGTGTTCCCTCTCTTGCTGTGTCTCTGTCAAATAAATAAATAAAATCTTTAAAAAACAAAATAAAATTATTCAAATTGTCAAGGTTTGAAATGGCTATTGTGAAGAATGAGAACAAGATGTTTCCAAAAGCAAATAGAGACTGACTTGAAAGGCTCAGCTGAGGTTTGATACCATGAATTTCTAATGGTTTCAATCTGCAAAGCTGTAGCAGCATTTGGTTACTTCAGTGCAGAGGGCAAAAGGGGAGAAAGAGGGATTTACTTAGAGTTAGTGTTTTGCCTGTTGTTTTAATCAGGAGCTAGACAAAGAAGAAGGGAGTTGTGTGCATTAGCAAATATGTTGCTGCAATGATGGACCACATGGACAAAATAAGAGGCAACTGATGCTCCCGAAGAAATTAGGAGGGATCAGGGGCCCCTGTGTAGTTGAAGACCAGATACAGCTGAGTGAGAACATAAGTGAGCTACAAGATTAGGACATTTTTTACAATTTTCTTTGAACATACTTTTTATTATTGCCTTCAATCCATTTGTTCTGTTTTCTTCTTTTAAAACAATTATTTTGTATCTGTTTTATTCACTTTCATATTTTAAATTCTCTTAACTCATTTTCTTTACAGCCAGGGATTGTTGCCCATCACACTCAGAATTCATTTTCAGCCAGCAAGTCTATTTGCTGGATCTGACCCATTTTATTTTAGCCACTTTACTTTCCATTTCCTTGCATTCTCTTTTTATTTCAGCCCATATTTATTCAAAAGGAGCATTATCTTCCTGTGTCCCAACCAATATTTAATTCCAGAATATGGGGTGAGGAGGAGAAAGGTTGGAGGGGGGATGAAAAACAGGGCCATGCAATCTATCAGGCCTAGCAAGATCACAAGACACACAGTAAACACCAGACTATTCAATGAATTACCACGTTCAATGATCACAACTCAGGGTCATGCTGGCTGAAATGGAAAACTGCCAGGTACTTCCTGTGCCAAGCAGAACTCCAAAGTCCAGGAGCCTGTATGCTCTCACCCAAGATATGTTCTTGCAACAGCTGATTTGCAAGTGTCCTTGGAGGCCTTGGAACCTCCAGGCCCTCCCTGCCACCACCCACTTCATTTTGGGGACGTCTTCACTAGGGAGTTGAGAGCATCATCATTCAATTGCTTGTGAAACATAATACCAGTACGGCCTTGAAGAAAGAGCAAAGATGAGATTCCTCTGATGTGCGGTGCCAGGGGGAAGGAGGCCCCAGGCACCAGACTTCCTAGGGTGGTGAGGAGCTGACTGATGACCCAGGCCTTTGCTGACCCAGGAAGGGAGAACCCTGGCCTTGAGGCCTATGTAGACTACATGCTGCATCTTGCCGCCCCTGAGAAGTCCTCCCTTCTAAAATCAGGTTACATGTCATCTGAGATCCTCTCTCAAAGAGAAGCCATGGGCTTCCTTTATCCTCAACCCTGGCTCAGATTTGCCACTGTAAATAGAAATGTCGGGTTTTATATCTGAACTCTGAGGTTACCACATATCAACCCTGGCTAGAGAACCAGAAAGCAAAATCAGTCCTCTGATTAGAGGGATTCTAATCAGAACCTCAGCCCCTTCCTTTTTATACAACATCCTGAGACAACAGGCAAAACAAAACAGTGAAAGCCAACTATCAAAAAAAAAAAAAAAAAGTAAAACTCATTCAAGCAGCAGAAAATTGGTTTGGTCATTGAAACCATTGAGCATTTTCGTGTATTTTTTTTTTAATTTCAGCATGATTGAGGTATATTTTCATGTATTTTTAAATGGCTCCTCTTACAAGAACAGCATCTGTTCTCAAGAAAGGATCTTGAGGAACAGTAAGCCATCTTCCTAAGAGTGTAACTTTGAATTAAGGAAGGGACAAATATCAGGCTCTCTCAGACTCAGATGCTTTGTGTCTTCATGTCTCCCAGGAGGTTCTCACACACCTCATACAGCCCCACAAACACAGACCACACACACACACACACACACACACACACACACACACACACACCCCTGGGCGGGACTGAGAACCACTGCATAGAAATGAGCAGGCTGAGGATACTCCAAGAGCTTCTCTCACAGGGAGTCAAATGCATAATGACGGGAAGACAATAGCCCCAGGCTACTTCATTCACTCGCTTGAGCCCAAAGGAAACCAAACATTTTTAGCAAGATAAAGCTTTTAGAGTTCCCACCACCACCACCACTGATTACCAAATTAGAGAATGCCAAGCTTAACTTTCAAACCAGAAGATCTTTCATCTCAAAATTCTCACCCAAAATTCAGCACAGCAGAATCCCTCTGCTACAACTATGTAGCATTTCTCTCCTGAGAATAAGGCCACTGATGGCCACCCAGGAGATAGCCTCAGCCCTCAGCCCTGGCCCAGCCAAGACTGGACAACTACCTGAGACAAAGGAATAGGCCGCTAGGATGTTGCTGAGCAAAGCCATGTTCACGCACTCGGTAATCACCAGCTCCGTGCTACAGCAGAAGGGCGGCCTCGACGTCGCATCCAGAGGAAGCCTCTTGGAAATGCTTGAACTGGACCAAGGCGGCACCTCCCTCTCTTCTCTTCTGTTTGGGAACACAAAGTGAGTGATGAGAACACATTCTGCTCTCCTGAGGCCGTGTTCCAGGTAGACCAGACTCAAGAACAAAGAACCAGTCTCCTAAATACCAGCCAGCCTTCCAGCCAGGGATCTGGGGTCTTGTGTGCTTTGTTCTAGCTAGCAAGTTCTTGACTTTCAAGGAAGCAGCAACTCCTTCCATTTCTGTTTTTCCTGGACTTTCTTCTTTCTCCTCCCCATCTCCTCCCCAGTTCCCTTTTAACACTTTCCCCTCACCTTCCCTGGAACTTTTTATTGCATTCTGTCTGGCTCACCTTGGAGGCACAGCCCATCAGCACTTCGGTCCCTCACTGTAACCCCCCCTCTTTGCCTGGCTCTGCTTTCTCTAGCATTGACAGTATTGCTGTACTTTGATCAGTTTGCCTCATCCCACAGGTCACCAATTGTGTGTCTTTGGCAATGGGTCAGAGCTGGCTGTCCCAGATATACCGAAGTGGTTCCAGTTCTTAAATGCCCACAAGAACTTGGGAGCTTGAGCCCACTCTCTGCCCCCAGTTTCATGACTCCACCTGTGACCATGATGGGCCAACCACACACACACATATACATACACACACACACACACAGATACACACACACAGAGACACACACACACACACTGCCACAGCCTGCCCACCAGCAGAACCGTGCCACCAGGGTTCAGAATAGGGACTTGGGATCTCAGTGTTAAGCAGCTCAGCCTCTGGCTGATGGAGCACATCCTCTCCCCAGCTGTTGCTGCAGCGGCTCAGACCTGACATTATCATTACCCAGTTCACTCAGAGATGCTCTCGCTGAGATGAAGGGATGAAGAAGTGGCAAAGACCCTGACAACTCCTATTCAATGCTGCCCTAAGCTGAGGATGGGGAACTGAATCACAGTGAGTGGAGAGATGTCAGGCTGGGGAATGCTAAAGAAGCAGAAGCCTCCAGTCCTTGGAGAAGAAACAGGTTCTTAGGGGGGTCATGGTCTCAATAACATGGACCACACAAAAGGGCCTGGGGAGCTGCAATTCTGCAGGTGGAGAGACTGGGTCACAACAGAGAAGACAGCTCATTTTCTGGTGGATTCCAGTGGGCTCAGGGAAAACCACAGCAAGGAAAGAAAGCCCAACCCGCAGGTAAGAGAGAAATGACCGCAAGGTCCTTGGAGCAGCCAGAGGCCCAAGAGTAGCAGGATGAGGAGTCAGAGCTTCAGGGGCTGAGAAGGGGCTGGCTACTGCTGAGGGACTCTGCTGTTCTGGGCCAGAGTCCTGGGCCTTCTTCAACAAACATTTGAGTTCTTAAAAGGTCACAACTATATGATACAGGTGAAGAGTTGGAACCACCGCTCTGAGTTCAGAGACTATTTTGAAGATGTGAAGACTTCAGGACCCAGGAAGAGAGTGAAGTCACTGGAAAATGTTGGAGTATGTGGTGGTGCAAAGCTATTTCAGATCCATTCCCTCCTATTATCCCCACTAACTCTATGGCACAAGTCTCACCATTTCATTTCTGGAGGTTTGCAACAGTCCACACCTAATCCTTCTGCTAACGCCTTCTTCCCACTCAGTCTAGCACACACTCTCACCCACAGAGTCATCTTTATAAAGTACAAATCTAATTACTTCACTCCATAGCCCAAACCCTTCAACTTATCCCCATTACACTTCCTTTTTTGGTGTTAGAAATTTCTTTATTCTTTATTAAGCACCAGCTTAATACTGCAGAAAATTTCAAATCACCCATTCTTCCCTCCCCCACCCAAATTCTTGATAAAGAGTTGTCCAAGTGAAGACACACTCTCTTCTCTCTTCTGTATAAAACTTTATCAAATAAAGGCAAATAACTGTGTACATATTGCTGTAAAATGCTGCCCACGGCTGTGGAAAGTGTCTGCCCAGGCTCCTTTCACTGTCCAGGTCCTGAAAGACTCTTGTTCATGAACTGTCACTTCACAAAGCAAGTCCACCCTTGCTAGGTTTATCATTATGAGGGTCAAAAACTTTCTCACAAAGTCTCAGTCCAGTCTCTTGTCTCAGCTGCTGTAAGTAGGCCCTCATCATCTCATCTTCCTGTTTGTTTGCAGGTTTGGCATAAATTGCATTAAGTGGAAAACCAGGCTCTCCAGGAATGGGAAAATTAGTGATTCCCAGCGTATACATTTCTTTTTCACCTTGGCTTTTGGAATTGCACTTTTGAAGTTTCTTTAGATACTCAGAAATGTAGAGAGTTATATATTTCAAGGTTCTATCAGCTTCATTCTTAATCTCATAGTTTCTGAAGAAGACATTGGCCTTAAAGTAATAGATGGCTTCATCCACAATATCTGTATCTTTTGTCTCTCTAGAGGCAGGTCCTTTGAATTGACTTCTGATAGGCAACAGTGCCAGGTTTCCAATGAGTTTGGTGTCAGGGTCCATGAGAGAAGAGTGGTAAGGTGGTATCTTGCCGGAGCCCGTGTTTCAAGCTAGATGAGGAGGTATCCCCATTACACTTCTTAACACAATACACAGCCACTTCCATAATATCTGACCCCTACCTTAGCTCCTAATTCATCTCCTACTTGAGTCTATACCCATACACATACACACAGAAATGTAGGCACGCCTAATGCTCCAACATTACCAACTTACTTTTAGTTACCCAAACACACCAAGTTCTTTTATCTTTTCATGTATTCTATCATGCTTTTCCTTTTGCCTAAAATGCCCCCTCCTCCCCTTATCAGTCTGGCAAATGTTTTCTTTAAAAGAGAATTCAAAAGTCCTATAGCAATCTCAAAATCCCAATGACTTTTTTTTTTCAGAAATAGAAAAATCCATACTAAAGTTCATACAGAATCTCAAGGAATCTCAAATACCCAAAAGAATCTTGAAAAAGAACTAAGTTGGAAGTCTCACACTTTCTGATTTCAAAATTTATTACAAAGCTCCAGTAAGCAAAACAGTGTGGCACTGGCATAAGCATATGGACCAATGGAATAGACCAGAGAGCTTAGAAATAAACCCTTACCCCTTGTCAAATGATTTTCAACAAGCGTGCCAAGACCATTCAATGAGGAAAGAACAGTCTTTTCAACAAATGGTGTTGAGAAAACTGAGTATCCACATGCAAAAGAATGAAGTTGAACCCTTACCTTATACCATATTAAAATTTAACTAGAAATGGGTCAAAGACCTAAATGCAAGAGCTAAAATTATAAAACTCCTAGAAGAAAACACAGGAGAAAAGCTTTATGACATTGGATTTGACAATGATTTCTTAGATATGATACCAAAAGCACAGGTGACAAAAGTTAAAATAAACTGGACAAAAGTTAAAATACACTGGACAAAAGTTAAACATCAAAACTTAAAACTTCTGTTCATCAAAGGACACAATCAACAAAGTGAAAAGGCAACCCACAAAATGGAAGAAAATATTTGCAAATCATATATCTGATTGGGGGTTAATATCCAGATTATATAAAGAGCTCCTAGAAACTCAACAACAACAAAAAACAAACAACCTGATTAAAAAAAAATAGGCAATGGACCTGAACAGACCTTTCTCCAAAGATGATACACAAATGATCAATAAGCTTATGAAAAGATGTTCAACATTACCAATCCCTAAGGAACTGCAAATCAAAACCACAACGAGATACCTCCTCACACCCATTCAGATGGCTAGTATAAAGAAATGGAAGGAAGGAAGGAAGGAAGGGGAAGGGAGGGAGGGAGAGAAAGGGAAAGAAAAGAAAGAAAGAAAAGAAAGAAAAAAGAAAGAAAAAGAAAGAAAGAAAGAAAGAAAGAAAGAAAGAAAGAAAGAAAGAAAGAAAGAAAGAAAAAGGGAAAGAAAATAACAAGTTTCAGAGAGGATTGAGAGAAATTAAAACCCTCATATTGTTGATGGGAGAGTAAAATGGTCGAGGCACTATGGAAAACAGGGTGGCAGTTCCTCAAAAAATAAAAACTAGAATTACTATAAGATTAAGCAATTCTATATCTGGGTACCTATTCAAAAGAATGGAAAGCAGGGACTCAAACAGATATTTGTACACCAATTATTATGAAGCATTATTCACAGTAGCCTAATGGTAGAAGCAATTGACGTATCCATCCACAGATGAATGGATAAACAAAATGTGATACACACACACACACACACACACAATGGAGTATTACTCACAGCCTTAAAAGGAAGGCATCTGTGCCACATGCTACAACATAGACGAACCTTAAGGATATTATGCTAAATGAAATAAGCCAGTCACAAAAGAACTGTAATGAATCGACACACTGTGTGATTCCACGTATATGAAATACCTAGAGTAGTCATATTCATATAGACAGAGTAGAATGGTGGTTGTCAGTGGCTGGGGAAGGGAGGAATTGGAAGTTATTGTTTAGTGGATACAGGGTACAAAGTTTCAGTTTTGCAAGATGAAAAGTATTCTGGAAATGGATGGTTGCACAACAGTGTAAATTCACTTAATGCCACTGAACTGTAAGTTTAAAATGGTTAAGCTGGTAAATTTGTGTTATATGTATTTTAGCACAATTTTAAAATAATAATAAAAATAAGGTGCTAATGAGGTACAACAGTGAATTTTGAAAGTGTTACTCCATTTAGAGAATTCTGCAAACAAATTTTGGTTTTAAGTTAACAGGAATGGCAGTAGAATTATTTTATACTGATATTAAAATTGAAGTCAAAATTCCAATTTATATCACACTATAAATGTAGCTTAATTTTAAGTAAAAAATGTTATTTCACTTTTAAAATTGGATAGTAAATAACTGTAATCTATCACATTTAGAACCTAAGAGTAAGAACATATCACACCATTAGATGCAAAAATGTGTTTGTGTAAAATTTGAT